GAGATTGCATGATAGAATTTTGCAAGAGCACCTCCTTACTGATTGCAAATGCATTTTTCAACAACATAAAGGACAGCTATACGGGTGGACCTCACCGAATAGAATACACAATCATATCGACTACATCTGTAGAAAGAGACAATAGAGAAACTCAATATCATCAGTCGGAGCAAGGCCAGGGGCCAATTACAGAACAGACCTTCAATGCTCATACGCAAATTCAGGTTAAAGCTGAAGAAAATTAAAACAAGTCCACAAGAGCCAAAGTACAACCTTGAATATATCCCACCTGAATTTAGAGACTATCTCGAGGGTAGATTTGACACATTGAGCACTAATGACCGAAGACCAGACAAGTTGTGGAATGACATCAAGGACATCATTCATGAAGAAAACAAGAGGTCATTAAAAAAGACAGGAAAGAAAGAAAAGACCAAAATGGATGTCAGAAGAGACTCTGAAACTTGCCCTTGATGTAGAGTAGCTAAAGTGAATGGAAGAAATGATGAAGTAAAAAAGCTAAACATAAGATTTCAAAGGGTGGCTGGAGAAGACAGAGTAAGGTATTATAATGAAATGTACAAAGACCTGAAATTAAAAACCAAAAGGGAAGAACACATTTGGCATTTCTCAAGCTGAAAGAACTGAAGAAAAACTTCAACCCTTGAGTGGCAATTTTGAAGGACTCTATAGGCAAAATATTGAACGACGCACGAGGTATCAAAAGAAGATGGAAGGAATATATAGAGTCACTGTACCAAATAGAATTGGTGAACGTTCAACAATTTCAAGAGGTAGCATATGATCAAGAACCGATGGTACTGAAGGAAGAAGTCCAAGCTGCACTGGCAAAAAAGAAGGCTCCCAGAATTGATGGAATACCAATTGATATGTTTCAACAAATGGATGCAGTGCTGGAAGCACTCACTTGACCATACCAAGAAATTTGGAAGACAGGTACCTGGCCAACCATCTGGGAGAGATCCGTACTTGCGCCCATTCCAAAGAAAGGTGATCCAACAGAATGCAGAAATTACTAAACAGTGTCATTTATATCACATGCAAGTAAAATTTTGCTGAAGATCATTCAAAAGTGGTTACAGCAGTACATCGACAGGGAACTGCCAGAAATTCAAGCCAGATTTAGAAGAGGATGTGGGACAAGGTATATCATTGCTGATGTCAGATGGATCTTGGCTGAAAGCAGAAGATACCAGAAAGATGTTTACCTGTGTTTTATTGACTATGCAAAGGCATGTGACTGTGTGGATCATAACAAATTATGGATAACATTGCAAAAAATGGGAATTCCAGAACACTTAATTGTACTCATGAGGAACCTTTACATAGACTAATAGGCAGCCATTCAGAAAGAGCAAGGGGATACTGTGTGGTTTAAAATTAGAAAAAGTGTGCATCATGGTTGTATCCTTTCACCATGCTTATTCAATCTGTGTGCTGAGCAAATAATCTGAGAAGAACATGGCATCAGGATTGGAGAAGGACTCATTAACAACCTGCGATATGCAGATGACACAATCTTGCTTGCTGAAAGCGATAAGGACTTGAAGCACTTACCAATGAAAATGAAAGACTGCAGCCTTCAGTATGGATTGCACCTCAACAGAAAGTAAACAAAATTCTCACAGCTGGTAAAGTAGAGGGGCAGCCAAAAAAAGAAAGACCCTCAACAATGGCTACAACAGTGGGCTCAAGCATAAAAACAATTGTGAGGATGGCTCAGGATCGGGCAGTGTTTCGTTCAGTAGGGTTGCTATGAGTCGGAACTGATTCATTGGCACCTAACAACAACATATCTATAATCCATTTTTCTTCATAACTTTTTTTATGATCTGTAATACTCAGTGTTTCATTTATTTAGTTTATTATCTTTTTCTCCCAACTAGAATGTGAGCTCCATGGGATTTTTATCTACTTTGTTAAATGCGGTATTCTCACTATCTGTAGTTGTGCCTGGCACATAGTAAGTGCTTAATAAATACTGTTTGAATGAAAATGCGCTTCAGACCAGTGGTTCCTCAGGGAAGAAAAAGATGGTAACAGGATTGGGAGAGGGAGAAATCTGTTACGTAGTTCTAATTTTTTTTTTTTTTTAATTTTAATATGGCCAGTTTGTTTACATTGGGGAAATATTAGTGATAGATATAATAGTTTCTGTTATATTATTCCCCATCTCTTTCTGTATGTTTTAAATGATAATTAAAAATTCAAAATAAACATGTATAAAGAATATATTGGTGAGAATGTTAAGATAATACGAAACATAGGTTAAAAGAATCTTTACTGTCAAATATTGTATGAAATTATAAAGTGACTATAATAAATACAGTGTAGTATATATATGGAGCCCTGGTAGTGCAGTGGTTAAGAGCTCAGGCTGTTAACCAAAAGGTTGGCAGTTCAATTCCACCAGCCACTCCTTGAAAAACCTATGGGGCAATTCTACTCTGTCCTATAGTGTCACTGTGAGTCAGAATCAACTCGATGACAGTGGGTTGGTTGTTTGGTAGTATATATACAGTATATGATAAATACAGTGTAGCTCATAAATAATCAGTTAAATCCTTTTGCTTCAAGATAAATTTCAGAATTAAGGAGTTTAGTAAAATAAAAAAGAGAAGAAACTATATATAAATATGCAATTTTGGAAAGGGTATTAGGCTTTCTAAGCATAACATCAAAGAAAGAATATAGGATTGAGTAAATTAAAAAAAACCTTAAATGCAAATTATAAATTTGTATAAAATTATAAATACACATAATAAATCATAAATTTGTATTTTGACAAAAAACATTTATATCTTTTTTATTTAGTTCCAGGATGATGCTTGGTTTACCCAGTTTGTGTTCCAGGTCAATTTTAAACTTAAACCCCATGAAGAATTGAAAATAATTTCAACACTTATTTCTTGAGCAAGAATGAGTGAATTCTTTGTTCTGCATCACATGGATAGGGAAGAAGTCTCTGTGCTTGGGTCATTTCTGCTTTACTTGGGGATACAAAGAATAGGTGGTCAGACAACTCTTGAGCATGCTTTCTTACTTTCTGCAGATATACCCCTGATGTTTCCACCTTCATTCCTTTTCTTGTGTATTTATTACTCTTTCTTTCTCTGGTTTCAGCTTCTGAAATTATACACTCAAATCAAGCCCAACTCGAATGTCATCTTTCCATGAAACATTCTTTTACCCTATAACAAAAATTATCTACCCAACCTTTGAATCCTCTAGTCATTTTGTTTTAATACTTAATAACTTTATGTTAATGAAAATGTAGAGGATTATTCTAGTAGAGAACATCATTGCTAGATTGTGATGTTTACTGCTATGTCTTACTCATTTTCGTTCCTTATGATTTGTGTCTTTACTAAACATTTGTGTCTTGATCGCATGTGACCAAATATTTTAATTGTTACAGGCTAAAAAAGAACAGAGAGAGCTAATATGTAAATCATTTGTCCCCTTCCAGTAAAGGTCAAAGGTTTAACATAGTTCAAAAAGAAAATGTGGTGTGCGAATTAAGTTGTCAGACAACACATGGTAGAATGACACTGTGTTATGAAAGGACCTGCCGCTGTATCAGTCAGTACTCTATCATATTTGCAGAATTTAGTTTCAACGAAAGTTTATCTGCTATATTAAATTAATTTGAAATGCCTTGATTTTTGTAGTTATTTTGCTCCATGGTGTTATAATTGTATTATATATGCATGAGAGGAGTGTGTACCTAATTTTATATTTGTATATAAACAACAACATATAATTTAAGTCAGTATCAGGAGTGTGGCTTTTCTTTTGAAAGGTTTTGTATAGTATTCAAGGTTGCAAAATAGTGATATACACCCCATGATATTTAGAGGTCAGAAGTAGAAGAGATCAGTATTAGAGCAGCAAGAAATAATAGTTTAGATTATGGCTGCATCTTGATTGTATCATAGTAAGTAATCGTTTTTTATTCAGTATGACAATTATCCATTCATGAAATAATCTAGAAAGAACATTGTCTAGATCTTCAATGATTATATTTATTTATTGTTTGATATTTAACTATCCCAATTTAAAAATAGGTAAATTAAAGGGTAATTTTTAACTTTTTCTGAAAGATGAGTTTAGTCCTTTTTTTCTTTTAGCCAGTTCCCCGTGTATCTTCATAGTGTCCTGAATTACATCAGATCAGTTTATATCCTGTACAGTCATTGTGTAAAATGTTTTATATGTTTATGTTGAAATTTGTATATTCATGTAGACATCTTATATCCAAATTGTATATTTCAATAATTTTTTGAACATAGACGCTTCTCGTAGCACATCTATGCTTTTGTTTATAATTTATTTTTACTGTTATTCTGTTATATTCCAGGGAGATCAAAATGTCATTTTACATGTTTGCTATTTCTTGTTCTACTTAAAAGCAAGATTTACAAATTAAAAACTTTCATTTCCTTATTTCCATGTCTTGTAGCACTCTATGGCTGTTACTTTTTTTTTTTTT